CCCCGCCCGCCACCCAGCTCCTCGGAGTGCCACCCGGCTCCCCGCACCGCCACCCGGCTCCCCCACTGCTACCCAGCTCCCCGCACTGCCACCCAGCACCGCCACCCGGCTCCCCGCACCGCCACCCGGCTCCCCCACTGCCACCCAGCTCCCCGCACTGCCACCCAGCACCGCCACCCGGCTCCCCGCACCGCCACCCGGCTCCCCCACTGCTACCCAGCTCCCCGCACTGCCACCCAGCACCGCCACCCGGCTCCCCCACTGCTACCCAGCTCCCCGCACTGCTACCCGGCTCCTTGGACTGCACCCAGCACCGCCACCAGCTCCCTGCTCCCCGCTCGAAGTTTAACTGGTTAACCAATTAAGGGGAGTCAATTCAGCCCAGATGGACTGGAGCATCCTCTCCCCCCACGGCAGGCACTGAGCTGCTCCCCCCCTGCTCCCCCTCTGTTAACCGGTACCACGTAACCTTTCACGGCCCCAGTGCTATTGTGAGTGAAAAGGGAATCGTCCCAGTTTACACCAGTGGAAGTGGGAGGAAACGCATCCCCCGTGTGTCATACAGTGGCGAGATTGCAGGCACCTTTCATCCACTGAGCTAAACCCTCCAGGCAGAGGGGCGGGATTGTCCAAATAGTGAGAAAGGAGCCTCTGGCAGGTCACAGGCCTTCTGCTCTTAGCTCTCCTCTGAGCATTGGCTTCGGTCCCTAGTGTGGGCACCTCTACACTGCGCGGGATCCCAAACTAGCTACCCCGGGGCTACGCAAGACTCCCGGTACTTTGAAATAATAGGGGCACTATTTTTCCATCCTAGTGAACTTCATGGCATGAGGGATAAGAGATGGCTGAAAATAGCACGTTATTTTGAAATTTGGCGCCGTGTAGTGCAAATTGCAAATCTTATTTCGAGTTTAGGGGGCTGTGCAGACGCACCCTATGGCCACATGGAGTCTGGGCTTTTGAGCTCTTCACGGTTAAGCTTTCGCCCTCGGCAGTGAGTGCATTTCACAAAAGGTTAACAGGGAATA